TAGGGCGCCTGAAAGGCTGATACGTAAAGAAAACACTTAGAATCTTTGTATTTGTCTGTCGATTATTGATCAAAAACTGAGTTCGAAACTAAGTCTTTTGTATTGGATTTACGAAGCTCTATAAGCAATTCATCGGATTAGTATATGTGCTGTCTCTTATACACATCTAGATGTGTATAAGAGAACGAAGCTCTATAAGCAATTCATCGGATTAGTATATGTGTATGTATATTTATGGTAAATTGTCTGGTCCCTCCACGAATAAGCCGCTACTATTTTTAAGAATATTCTCCATTTAAAAATAAATTGTTTCTAAAAATATATAAACAAGTTAGAAATTATATTTTCCAAAACAAATTGATAGCTTTACAGAAAATTTATAGCCTTTCCTCTACGTCCTTAATAATTGCATACAAACATGCTACTACTAAGTAAAATAGTTCGCTTCTCTCTAGCCTGTACTCCGCCTCCCTACACTAAGTGCACACATTTCAGCAGTTCGTAATGTTTATTCCCCTCACTAGTCTATGTACATATATCTCCGATTTTCCAATAAAAACGATCGTAAAATGCATGAATCAGCCAACGCAGGCGGCCGCTAGCCAGGCACCCAATTGGCTGTGCCAGAACGCGTAATTTGTGCAAAAACAATTACTCATGCGTTGGATGAATAGTATATACATATGTATATGCATACAAATAAATACACATGTATATTTATGTAATTTTAGTTTAGTTCTACCACGCAAGGAACTTGACCAGCTGTTGCTCGTTCAATATTCAAAAGCAGAATGTCCTCATTTCGAATATGGGAAAGGATTATTTATTAATGATGACCTTATTGTTGTTGGTAGTATACCATATAAAATACCTTATATTTTACCATATAATATACTCCTATCCACCGAAAATCACATACACATTGGCCAACTCATTTAAGTCATTATTTCCCACGGTGTATTTATGCTTACAAATTACTGACGCTGAAGTCAAGGTAATCCCAGGTATTTTCCAAAACAAAACTCTTCCTATTAAAAGGAAAATATATTGTGCCAACAAACRGCTACTTCTGCAGAAATGCCKGCCATTGYCGATTTACAATAATGTTTATAAGTCAGCTGATTAATGTCTTCACATACATACATTACATATGTACATGAATATGTAAATATTTGTATTTTGATTACGATTTCATGTATGTTTCTACATATATTTACGATCTACAGTTCGTATGTATGTTATATACATATACAGACMTATGTAAATGCTGAAGAATATCTTTACTATGTTGTTGTAATCATTCAACAGCGTCTGTGGAATATTGTAAACTTTAACAAGGCCCATTCCGTGGATGGATGGGATCAATCGAAGGCTAAATAAATACGCTGCTTTTGATTTAAACACTTGCATTTTAATATGTTTATTTTTTCATTAATGACCTCCATTAAACTCTCAGGCGGCTGCCGCTGGTGGTCAATAAAGTTCTGTGTACTGTATATTGGCAATAATGACTTTAATTGGATTTGATACTTCATTACGGGATAAATATGTAATTTTAAATATAGCTGCCATTGAAACTGATCAATCAAAGATAAATATTTTGTTATACCCTTYGCAGCTATAAAAAGTGCAGCTCCTCGTATTAGAACTTCGATGCTGCCGTAGTTAAAGTTTTCTTTAAGCTTTTCTTTGGTTTTTTCACAAATTCACTTGTTTATATTCAATACGAATTTCAATTTGGTTGACACAAATTTATACAAATTACAAGCTAGAATTAAATTTTTTTGACGCCTGCTTCCGGCGTCACCGAATTTTCAAATGACAAAAAGTTTTGCAGCCACTKAACAARGCAACGCGGCGCACACAAAACTGTTGGAACTATGAACAGCTGTGTTAGAAGCAATGCCAGCTCGCATATATAGAATGTAGACGATGAAAAATAAACAAACACAAGAAACTATGAAATAATTTATTACCGTTTTTCTTAGATTTTTTTAAGAATTAGTTATATTTCTATTATGCTAAATTATACAACAGTTAAAGCAAAAAAATCAAAATATTGTTAACATAAAAAACAAGTCCTTTACTATTATAATATGAAAAGACATAGTACGGCAACACCTATAGTTTGCTTTCATCAGTATTTTTGTACGCAAGAGTTTCTTTCAGCAAATTGTAAGAATAAAATTTTAATTTATATAAAAGTTTCGGGCATAATTCTAAAGCTGCAARATGCATTTTCCATACATGAAAATTGCCATCTATGTGCTAACCTTTCTCACATACGCCTACTCGGGCTATGGCTCCAGCACTTTAGTTCATCTGCGAGACGCCATCATCGCAGCGGAGGCAATTTTCGGTGATGTGTTTAAGAATTTAGTGACGGTTGCTAAGAAGTTTCGTACCGTGCATGAAGTATTCGATGCCGCAGTAGATGAGAATTGTGTATACAAATGTTTGGGACCAGAAGGCCAACCAACAGGTTAGTACGCAATGGTTAATATGAAACTGCATGGAATGCCGGCTGGCTGAGGAGGGCAGAMAATTATGTAAAAGTAATGTGTTATTACAATATGAAAATGGTTAAAAGATATAGTGTGAATTGCTGAAGACATACATATAAGTGAATCGTGCTTAATGATTGGTAAAGTGCGTCAGATTTGCTTATAAATATAAATGCGAAATATTTTCGCTTTGTTTTGATTACACATTTACAYCGCAAACAGCTGTTAAGAAAAACTTACGGCTGGAGATTTCCAGCTAATGGAAAGTTGGTGTTGTTAGTGGTGTGAAACTTGGTGAGAACGTTTGTTTGTGAACAAAATGTGTCGTCACAACTAAAGAACTCACAAGTACACGTGGACCAATGCTAACAAGGAAATTAAACTTTTCTCTTTACTAGTTAAAGAAGAATTTATGTTTAGCTTGATGTAAAATCATTCAAGTTTMAAATAAACAAACAAAATTGTGCTTTTTGGAAGCTATTTCAGCCACCCACTAACAGATGTCGCTGCGAAACAATGCAAGCTYGCAGCAAATTTTTGTTTTCCTTTTTAAATGCATTTCCTTGGCGCACATTTATTCAAACACTTCACTTTCAGACGTGCGCCCCGTCCAGAATAAGCTGTATACACCAACCGCCAATGGCTGTGGTTCACTTGGTCTGCACATCAACACCGAATACTTGCCCGCGGTTGAAATGGAGAACTGCTGCAATGAGCACGATATATGCTATGACACTTGCAATAGCAACAAAGATCTTTGCGATTTGGATTTCAAGCGTTGCCTTTACAAATACTGCGAAACCATTGATAAATCGATTGGCAGCGAATATCTCATAACCGGCTGTAAGGCCGCAGCTAAGGTGCTGTTCACCGGCACGTTAACGCTGGGCTGCAAGTCGTATTTGGACTCGCAGAAGCGTTCCTGCTACTGCGCGCCACCGAAACAATCTAAGGAGGAAGAGCGACGTAGTCGTAACGGTTATAAAAACGGCAACRGCGATAAATACAAGCACGGCAAAAAGCAGAAATATGGTTGGAAGGATGCGGGCGACATGTAGTGCAAATTATCTTATTTATAAACGTATTAAGTTATTTGTTTTCTTGTTAATTGTCGAACGCACAGTTCATACAACATTCATATATAATTTGTAGATATGTATGGGTATTAAAAGCAATATTATTTAATAGTATTTTGAATGTACAGCTTTAAGAGTTACGAGAGAGAGGCATCCCCCGCCAAATGCAGTTTTTAGACTTATAAGAATTCGATGAATTTATTATTTTTAATATCAAGTAGCTTGTACATACACACTATGTAAACTGTGTTAACCAACGAACTTAATCAAAGCGGAGATTTTGTAGAATTCAATACAAAATAAAGGTAAAATGTAATTAAATTGGAACGTTTAGATATATTTCTTATTGGACTACATAAGCTCAATTTATATTTTATTATTATTATATTATTTGCTTATACAGTGCCGATTAAACCTTTTTTATTTTTTAACGCATATATTATTATCTAATCTATCTAAATCAGCTTTAAATGAGTGATTTTTTGTAATTATTTTAAYTGTTTGTAGCCTTGAAAAATCCCCGAAATAAAAACAGCAATTATACGTAGAGAACAATTATAACCGTATCGCTGTTGGGTAGATTTTAGAGTCGCTTGGTGGGCACTCCCCGCACCTGCCGCACTAAAAAACAAAAAATGTAAGCTTTTAAGCTCTATGACTTCCTTCCTTCCAATCGCTCCAGTAGTTTTCCAAGGTTGGCTGCTAWGGAATTTAGTTTGGAAAATTCCTTTACAATCACAGTCGGTTCTAGAAAGCAGTACGGTCAAGGATTTATATGCGGCCAAGGATATATGAATATGAGACCAATGATTTATTACCGGCCAAGTGCTGATAAAGCGACAGCAGCTTTGCAATTTTTATATTTTGCCACTATAGCAACAACAACCACAGCATAAATATTCGTATGTGTAACACCAAATGTAAACAACATTTTATTTTTTACCTCCACTGTATTTGCTGCATTTCTTTTGTTTTTATTTTCTTTGAAGTTTGACGATTGGAAGGCGCGAAATTTACAGTTTAAGATCGCGTTAGGTGCAATTTGCATTCTTATTGAACTTATTAATAATTAAAAGTGRAAATTTACTAAATGTGCGTCAAATTAATAAACGGTGAGTGCGCGTGTGAAATTAGTTATTACTTCATTCGTTTGCATTATAAAAAGAATGTGTCCAATAGTGAAAAGTGAATAGTGTAAAAGTAGTGAAAAATGCGTAGTAAAAACTAATGGTGTGGAAAAATGTGCAGTTGTGTCTTGCAAAAAATAGTAAAATAATTACCAAACCAAAGTGTAATGCAGAGTCTGTCGGTGTTGAATAAATTTATTTGACTTTCGGCTTGTATTAAAACAAATTTATTGAAATCGGTGGGCGTTTAGGCACTATAGGCAATGCAATTGGCTTACCATACTAAAAATAACCGGGAGAATGAAAGAACAACATGGTTTAATGCATACTATAACAACTTTWAATAAACTAAATTAGCTTAACTTATGCTAAATTATAACATAAACAATTGTAGGTGTGTATTTTGTACTTCTGCAACGAAGCTAGCGTTATGCGCGTTTGCAGCCACTCCGCTTATTAGCCAAAGTAGCCGATACCACTGCTAGCCGATGCGCTGGCCATGCCACCACCGCTACTGCTGGCGAATGCGGTATCTGAAAAAAATCAAATAAAGAGACACGTCCAGAACACTACAAAATTTTATTGGGTTGAAGTGTGCTATGACTCTAAATTGCAATTCTAAATTTGTCAACCACTACGTCTGGACTTACTCATGCCATTGCCGTAAGATGGATAACCTCCAAAACTAGGATAGCCACCGATGCAATAGTAGCTACTATAACACGGATACGTATTKCCATAACCGCCACCATAGTAGGCGGGATATTGCTGATTGCCGCCGTAGCCGGGGTAGCCACCATAAGCGCTGCCGCCGCCAAAGCCATAGCCACTTCCATAGCCAAGACCACCGTAACCACCACCAAAACCGCCACCGTAACCACCATAACCGCCCGGATAGAAACCGTATTGTGCGTTTGTATAACAGGTGTGCGATACAGCGAGGATGACCAGCAGTAGCATGCGCGAGTTGAGCGAGGAAGCCAGGCGTGCGTTATACATAATGTAAGTTTTTTTGGAAGCGAATTCTTTTCTTTCTTAATATTATGAATATTATATTAGTGATATATGTATATTTTCACTTTTTTAAACAGATAGGTTTTTTCGTCTAACTTTGCCACAACCGTCAAAATTCACAACTGAATTTTTAATTGCCATGCTTTTTACTTTTATACAAATTTCGTTGAGTGCCAAAACGAGTAAAAAAATATTCGTCTAGTTTTAAAAAAAGCCCACTACATTAAATATCAATTTAGAACTGATGATATTCTGATAGCATTGAATAGGTTGTTTACCTTTTYTGTGTGACCACCAAATTCCGTACCACTGAATAGGTTTATTATTTTCTATTGTTGTTTAATTAACTACATTTTTAGTTTATATAACTTTTTTTGGTTTAAATTTTTAATTATTTTTTAAACTTTTTTTAATAATTTCTTTTTAAATTAAAATTTTTTTTATTTTTTTTATTTTTGTTTTTTTTTTTTAAATTTTTTACTTACTTAAGGAGGAAACATTTATTTTATTAAGATCTTTAGCTTGATTTTGGTGCGTCAGAGTGAATGGCAAATCGGTCAGTTTGTACGGCAGCTACATATATGTACATACGCTATAGTGGTGCCGTCTAAACGATATGTTCAAAGATTTCGGATTTCTTGAAAATATCTCATCCTATAAAAATGTTTTCCATACAAGGACATGATTTTGTTCTATCCTATAGTGGTCYGATATCTCCGGTYCCGACAAATGAGTATCTTCTTACAGYGAAAAAGRAGTATGCAAAATTTCWGATCGATATCTGAAAAACTGAGGGATTTGTTGGCTTATATACGAACAGACGGATATACAGCTAGACGGACTTGGTTAAATCGGCTAAACTCGTCCCCCTGGTTGTTCGTAATTTTACTTWATGGGATTTTCGAAATTCCTTTAAGGGTATCGAAGATTTTTGCTTAATATAAGTTACATTGAGAGGTCGACCCTAACAAGGCTCTCACTTGGACAACTAAGGACTCGGGGATGTTGTGGTATTTTGCTAATTATGCTATAGTTGATAAGAAAGATCAGTTAGATGAGCTGTTTGAGCAACACTGAAGATTTGTGCCTTTGCCTTTTTTATCATTGCATCCTTGTAACGTCAGTTCTTTCTTAAAGCATTAAGTCTCAGCAGACCCCGGAAATCCAAACTTAAACCCAAATGCGCGSTACYATATTCATACATTATAATAACCGTTAGAGTTCATGGGGAATCTCATCAAGCAATAAAGTGATATCATTAAATTAGCTGGCTCAATAGCAACCGCTGTAAATGCGCTTTACTAGCATTGTTATTGTTGCATGCCYATTAGAGGCCCTCGGTGCACAACGCGGCGTGCTGACGTGCTACTGTCGTTACCGTTGCTTCAATGTGTCGCCATTGGCGTTTTCGGGTGACTGTCATAGATTTCGTACAATACCASACAGACACACTCATGCAGCTTTGGTTGTATGTATGTATGCATGGGACTCGCGCAATAAATTTGTTGTAGGCTATTAAATAGATGGTTGCATGCTGATTTCGACTGTTCGCCAGTACAACATCAACAATGTTGAGTAGCAGTGACGCGATGGCAATGAAATAAATGGGAGAACACAAGGCAATTGGCTTATGAAGTACATATGTGTACACATACGTATATACATATGTACTTAGATATGTGGTCGTAAGCATGTGATTTCCTATGTACTTTTATCTATATGCACATATCTGCGCGCAAAGGTAAAGATCATATTTCAGTATGTACTTATATTTGTATGTACGTATACCTATTAGAGGATATATGGATATATGTGTATACCTTGCTTAATAAACATGAAAATATATATAGCATGTATGTTTGACTTTCCCTTGGAAAAATGTAGATGCARTTTTAGTGATAAGCAATGTCAAATCGTCAGCAGCTGGCAAATTGMTAGGCCTGCATGAAATTTTTAATTTTTTTAAGTCAGTAGTACTCTGCTTAGAAGAAGATAGAAAAATTMAAGTTGTATCAGCAAAATTTCTCCAAGATTTGGTGTATATGTTAACGTCATAAAATCAACTTAGCTTCCTCTAAAAATTAAAAAAAAAAAAAAGTCAGATAGGATTAGGAGACAAATCTTATCCCTTAGATTGAGAATCACTATGTTGAGGTAATCCTATCAGGCCAATATTTTATAAGCAGTTAACCACTCTCTTTATAACATACTGCTCTAATAACTATAAAGTTTATTTCACTAACTTCGCATCTTTTCAAAACTTGTTCGTTCAAAAACATACACAACTCGGTTTTCTTTTCGCCACAAATTTTCACTACAGGGATTGTTGGCAATATTTCCTTCCAACTWCTAAAAATCTGAGCTTTACTAAGCATTCGCATCTCTTTTTGCATTTTCACCGCGAATTTTCCTACAGGGTATGCCTCGGCAGTCAATAATATTTTCTAAAAAATCATATTTTAAGCTGAGCAGCAATTGGCTTCTGTTGATTTCCGCAGCCTTCGCGTGAGGTCAACCGCTGGCTAATGTGTGTACCTATAAATGTGGTCATAAATATAATAATTACGAATACAATAGCCATAAATTAATAATATCACATAAATTCGACGTGTTTATTTTAAATTTACCAACAACAATATGTTTTTGCTAAATATCAAATATTCTAACACTTTTCACAGTTCAATGCTTTGTTCAAATCAAAAGCATTCGTTGCATAATTTATCTGTTAAATATTTTTATCGTTTGTTTTGCGGTTACATTGGCTCATTGTCACTCATAAAACGGCAATCAAGTTCAATTGCAAATAACTTACGGAAATGTTTACAAAAATAATATTGAAAAACAAGAAATTAAAAATGATAAACGATTGTTGRATTTTTCAAAATCAATGAGAAAAGCGTGACAGCGTAAGTTCTCAACTTTTTCATCAATTTTCAAGTTTTCATAAATCCAATTAATAGTTGTTAAGTAAGCTTATAGAAATACAAGAAGGGAGCAAGCTTGATTGACCCATCGAATTCTCCAGTTTTTTCCTTCCGACTTCTTCCAAATTTGAAAAATTCGCTTGGCGGGTAGAAATTTTAGACGATTGAAGAGGTTATTTGAGTCGAAAGAGGAGATTATCTTATATTTTTTAGATGGTTACATTTTTGATCTTGGSACTTCTTCCARATTTGAAAAATTCGATTGCCGTTTAGAAATTTGAGTTGAATGAGTTATCTTCGTCACGGAATCCTATTTGGCAGACCTCTGGAACATATATTTTTTATATGGGTAGAGTTTTGGCCCTACGACTTCTTTCTAATTTGAAAAATTCGCTTGCCGGGTGGAAATTTGGGTCAAAGAAGGAGGTTGTCTTCGTCGCAGAATTTTCACAGTCTACGCGAACTCGGGTCTTTTATAGTAGGCTATATATAACGAGTAATTTCCGTTAAGTGGCTAAGCAAGAGAGAAAATACCTAAGAGCTAAAAATTGCAGAAATAAATTGCAACAGTAAATAAATTTCTTACAAAAAGTTTAGAATTTTCACAAATTTAATAAAACCTGCTTTCACTTAAAATGCCAACAGAAATTTTTCAACTTCACTGACCCCAAAAAATKCTGTAATATGTCAGAGAGAGAGAGAGTGAGCAAAATCTAGAATTTGTCCAATATTTTTTTGCCGACAAATTTGCACACTGACAACCAAAAGTGCAGGCACACATGCAGCATACACAGTGTTTTCCCTTGTCTGCGTCCATTTCCATTTGCGCTGACACATTTCGTATGTTCGCTCGTTTGAAATTTGCATAACACTTGAAATTGTTTCACCTCCGTGCCGAAATCGAAATGTAAAATGTTTATCGAATTTGACACAACATTTTCGCATAACGGCAAACAGAAATTATCAAAAACAACAACAAAAAACTGTATGCAACAATAACGTGTGCATTTGTGTGTGTGTGTGTGTGTGTGTATAGGTACAGTTACTCGTACATATGCGAAGGCAGTTTAACAGCGGTGACACAATAAAGATGAGCTCAAAAACAAAAGTGGAGCAGAGTAAAAATTTGCAATTTCATATGCACAGGCATAACGGTATCTATACAGCAGCATATAATGTAATATATGTGTTACAAAAACAAAACAAAAAAAAAACGAGAAGGAACGTTAACTTCGGTTGCAAGGAAGTTATTACACCCTTCACAAATACAAAACATTCCTTACAAGTACTCTGAACGATCAGTTTGTATGGYAGCTATAAGCTATAGTGATCCGATCTGAACAATTTCTCGGAGATTACACTGTTACCTTGGAGATTAACTATTGCCAAATTTCTTGAAGATATTTGCTCAATTGAAAAAGTTTTCCATACAAGCACTTTMCTCCGATCGTTCAGTTTATATGGCAGCTATATCTTATAGTGGTCCGATATCGGTCATTCTGACAAATGAGCRGCTTTTTGGTGAGAAAAGGACGGGTGCAATATTTCAGGTCGATATCTTAAAAAACTGAGAGACTAGTTCGCATATATACAGACAGACACACGTCAGAAAAATGTAATATACCCTGTTTAGGCTATGAATACATATGCAATTAAAATATATGCAAGCGCTCACGTTAAACCAATAAACTGGCCAAAAATGTGTCCGAAAGACACACACAGACACAAATTTGCCAGCGTCGCAYATGTGACAAATATGCATAATGTGTGAGGTAGTTAGCTCTACCGCACGCAAGCGCCACCACAAACAACAACACTAGCAACAACAGCAGCGAGCAGCCTTCAAAGCGGACAACGTTAAGCCATTTCAACCCAACAAACAACCAGCCGACCGACCGAGTTGCCGTATAGCCCGCCGTGGTGGCTGTCAGTCAAAGAGTCAAAATAATGTTGGCCAACGGCTCAGCAAAGCCTATTTGTTGCATTGCATAAGCATACACATATAAATAGATACATACTCGTATATGTATGTGTATGAGTATGTGTGTACATGCAACAAGGACG